ACTGACCTAAAACAGGTAAAGTTTAGCCTGATTTAATATCAGACAGACAGCGCATGTAAACGTGTGTTTTCAGCTGTAAATAGCATCTTTCAACCTTAGTGCTCATCAAAGCACTTCATCCAGTCACACACACGGCGAACGGCGTGTACTTCTGTGTAACTTCACAGAACTTGAGCAGGTTTGCAAAGAAGAATGGGCTTTAAACTGCAGCGTCCGGATGTGGACGACTGTCTGAGATCCACCCCCACATGCTCAAGGCTGTAACTGCTGCCAAATGTGCATCGACTAAACGCCGTCTTGAAGGGGGTGAATACTTGTGCAGTCGCTTATTTTGCAATTTATATCTTTTTAATGATTTGACATCAGATGAAGGAACTCATTCCTGCCCACAGCGATTACTCTCTTTAACTCCAGAGTGCTCATATATTTGCTTTTCATTATGATTTATATTGTACGGAGCCCCTAAAGGGACGTGTTGGAGAAAGAAAAGAAAGGTGCCAAGATTTTTGTGGTGCTCACCAGATACTTATCTGGTGAGCGCCACATAGGGTTCTCGTGGGAGCGGGATACGGGGCGATGTGGGATGCTGGGAGTTTAGGTTCTTTGAAGGGAGCCGGAAGCAAAACTATTGTTTGGAGTGTTGTGTGTCTGTGTCTCAACCTGTGTGTCCGTAGTGAGATTTGTCAGTGCGTAAAAAGATTTCTAAATGTGTACAAAGACATTAGTAGATGAAAGCTACAAGTGCTGAGAACACAGACAAATCACCAGCTAGAAGTCTCACAGTTGGCTGTCTTTGTACGCATGACTTTTGCTGCACTTCTGCTGTGAGAGATTCATATCTGTAACTTCAGGGTTTCTTTGCCCTGAGCTCAGGCTCACAGGTTCGTTCATTCTGGCTGCTCACCACTCTGCTGCTCCGTGAAAGTTTTTGCTCAGCGACCTACAAACTCTTGTTCACGTATACCAGGCGATGACCTGGAATAAGAACGCCACACAGCCGGTGAAGAAGCCCCAAAAAAAGACTCCACTTCCTGAGAATCCTCAGGACGAACAACATCAGTCAGAGACTGCTTGTGTCTTTCTACCGCTCCACCATGGAGAGCATCCTCACCTACTGCCTCCGTACGTGGTTTCAGGAAAGAACTCCAGAGGGTCAGAGAAGGTCACTGGGTGCCCTCCACCCACACTGGAGGACCTTCATGGCTCTTTCTGCCTCAGGAGAGCCGACACCATCCTGAAGGACTCTCACCACCTGGGATACTTCCTGTTCGAGCTACTGCTGATGGTACAGGGCCATCAGAACCAGGACTAACAGACTGAAGAACAGCTTCTTTCCAGCTGCTGTCAGAGCCATAAACGCCTCTTTATCGTAATGAGTGCAACATATTGTTAATGTACAGCTGCCACTACCTCTGTCCAACATCCACCCTGTGCAACATACACTGTGCTTATTATTTAATTTCATCTTTTTTTATAGTTTTATATATATATATTCTTTTTTATTGTGTATAGTTGTTTACAAAGTTTCTATTTATATCTATATTTTTTTGCACTGAAAGGCCTGCCCCCGACTTTTCGTTGTACTCGTTCCAACGACAATAAAACGAATCTGAATCAGTGTTGCGTGTCATCCAAGACTCTGGGGGATCTGGGGGATCTGGGGGATCGCGCTGCCTGATTGTTTGCAGGCTGTGAGCCGGAACAAATACCAGAGTAGTGAATCTCACGACTGACACACAGATTGAGATACAGACACACAACTCTCCGAGCAAATAGTTTGGTTCACTTCAAAGAGCCTAAACTCCCAGCATCCCACATCGCACATAAAACCTGTGAGTCTCCTGTGAGCACCACATAGTTTTTCATTTTTTATTCTCTTCAACATCCCCGTGATATTTTTCCGTTGTGGTCACTCGACTCTTTCCACTCGGGGATCCGTGACGAAGTGGGTGAGACCTCCCGCTTCTCCTCACCACTTAACATCTCACATTACACCGTTTTCATTGTGTGCTGCTTTAATCTGAACCATGCCACGGACTATCAAAGGGTTTGTTTGCGTTAACATGTGACATCAATCTGTCTGTGAAGATTCTCAGTCATCCAGGTCACGGTTATTCTCGTGAATCAATCGGAGCAACTGGATTTGCTTGAGTTCCTCGAAGACGTTTCACTTCTCGTCCATTACTGATCCATTAATGGCTCCTTAAGGATATAAGTGTCTGGAAGTCTAGTCAATCAGAGCTGACTCATATCTCATATCTGGAACTCCCAAGTCAGAGCCGATGAAGCCTCTTGGATGAGAGGTAAAACGTCTTCAAGGAACTTAAGCGAGTCCATTTGCTCCGATTGATCCACGAGAACTTACATCAGCCATACGGGAAATAAAAGAAAAACCACAGCCGTTACTTTCAGTTATCACTTATCAAGTTGCAGCGTAAATGTGGTTTAATTGTCTGTTTCTTTGTTTGTACCTACTTTCCTTTGTTCCTTTGTTCTGACCCACCACACCGGGCTGGTGTTTGGCAGGAGGCCAGTCCAGCACTTCCTGAATTCATGGTGTTGGTGATGTCGGCGTGACACCTCTGGGTCAGACCAAGGGCAGTTTGTATGAAAAGGATCAATCAGAATTGGCTGTAGGTGTGAAGTTTTTCATGTAGAAATGCCTGCAAGTGTGGAATGTGTGCAAGGAGGAGGTTTGTGTATTTGTTTTCATCAGCGTTACAGAAGAGTCAGAAGAACAAAGTGTGAACTGAGCAGCTTGTGTAAGTAGATTCAGCCTCCTCAGGAAGGTGAGGCCAGAACGGGACATCATTTTGTGTCGTTATGAGTTAAAAAACATGAGGAATAAAAGTGGAGATATCTTGAGCAAGATCTGGCAAAACTTTCTCGGAATTGCTCAATAACTTTTGCAAGTTCCTGAGAAAGTGTTATGAGATCTCGTAAAAGCCACATCGATCTTATTGGGCGTTTTGTGAAAACTGTGCCTCTCATTAAGCACTGCTTGGATGTCTTTATATTTTAGGCCGATTTCAAAATAAAACTCTTGTACGGGTGGACGTCCTCCGCTGTCGTTTCTCCATACTGTCGTCCTCAAATGTATTCACAGCCTTCCATTAAAGAAAAGACAAAATTCACTACAGTCGCTCAAATAACTAGAAACTGAAAAAAGTAATAATAAATAAAAATTTGCTAAATTATACTTTAGTGAAATAAGATGTTGCTTTGAACTGTGGTTAAAAAGAATAATTTTAAAAAACAACACAAATTAGAGCACTTTGCTGATGAGCAGTGGGCCAGAATAGCTGTCAACAGGTGCAGAAGTCTGACTGAGAGTTACAGAAAACACTTGATTGGCTCAAAGGATTGTTCAACAGAATATTAGTTTACGGGTCCCATCATGCTTGTTTATATATATATATATAATCAATTTCAACTTATTTCAGTGACAGATGTTTTTTTCCTTCTTTAATGGAGGATATGAATACATCTGAGGACGACTGTATATATACCTATAATCTTCTTCTTCTTCTTTTTCTTCTTCTTCCACTATTGATTTGACGGTTGGCATCCAACGTTCAGGTGCATTACCGCCACCTACCAGACTGGAGCTACCTGTAGTTTTGCTAGATCTTGCAAAAGATACCTCCATTTTTTTTTTCTTTCTCCATGTCCCTTCTGGCCCTCCATAACTTTTAAATATAATTTTTTCCTTGTCAATTATTTAGTATTGTCTTGTTATTTTGAGTCTCACATGAACAGGAGAATAAAGTCTTCACCTTTTTGCACACAACAAGTCTGCCTCCTGTCACCTCCTGTGGGCAGAAATCGGTTTCCACTTTTCACATGTAAGAGTCTTTTTTTGGTGGAAGATTCTTCCACTTCCAGGGATGATGAGCTCTATCAGTGTGATATTAGAGGTATTAGATCACCTCCTGTGGGCCACAAAAGCTCCACCCTGCACCGGACAGCACAAATATATTTAGATATTAATGTGAAGCTGGGAACTTCCCACATTCACTTCAAGTTTACAGCCACCCACAGGTTTTGAGAGGGAGTGGGTTTGCTTTTAAGCCCTTTTTTTTATTATTTATTTATTTTGTGTTTGTTTTGGCATTCCGTGGTAATTAGGACCCAGCCTCTTAATCTGGAAACTCCAGTGATATCATAATCGAGGAGGAGAGACAAGACAGAAAGTGAAAGTAAATATGTCATTAAGAGTCAGCCTGGGATCACAGCGGACTCACACGGCAGACAAACGCACGGTAAGCTGCGATCACTTCACCGCCTTCTTCTCTTTCTTTTCTTTTTAAATGTATTTCTGACTGATCTGGGGAACAAATGTGCGCCCTGTTGGAGACACGAGTGGCTACTGTCGAGGATCTATTGCTGGAGTTAACGTGTGCATGCGCCGGCTGCTTGCAGGGTTTCTTAGCGGCTTTAGTGTGCGCAGTTTAGCGACAGAGAAAGCGGAATGAATGCAGGCTGCACAGACGTGTGTCCAGTCCAGGTTGTGGTTTGCGTTCAGAGGCTGCCTGACGTGATCCGCGTCCACAGACAGGCCCAGGCACTGATTTCTTCTGTGTTTCTTCATTTTCATCTGAATTTGTTGCTTCCCTTCCAATTAGCTTTTCTATGAAGAAATTAAGATACAAATATGAGTGAAGCAGCTCCGGCCGGCAGGTGGTATGGAAGACCATTAGTGCCAAAATTCTTGTCACTGGTGAAATTTTGGCAAAATGGTTTTTTTGTTTGTTTTTTTCATCATGAGCAGATAATGAGTCTGCTTAACAAATTTATTAGACCTTAATGTGAGACTACAGCTGCACTCAATAAACAGCACTGAAGAAGAAGCTTTATTGTCATTGTGCAAAAAAATACAACAAAATTGGAATCGTCTTTGTAGCGGCTAATAAAAAAGATAAAAAATGTGATACAAATAATAAAATAGCAATAAAATAAATACTCTGTTAAAAAATTTAAATTACAAAGTAATTACCAAAATCATTTTTTCTGTTTGTGTAGTGGTTAATACAGCAGTATGTAGAAGTTCTTCAACCAAAATCATATTTTTAATGCTAAAATATCATTATTGTTGTTATTGGCTTCCATGAATTTCAAATGTACTCTTTTACAAAAAAAAAAAGAAAAAGAAAAATAGCAAAGTCCAGTATTATTTCTTGATTAAGATGTCAAATTGTAGTTGTTTACTTGCATTCCTGAACAGAAAATGTAGTTTTAGTGGTTGAATATTGAGATGGATTAATTTCTGACTTCTGAGCGATGCTTCAAATTTGGGTATAAAAAGGTGATTTCAGTTTGAAATTCCTCATTTGTGTTCAAAATGGTAAAACGTCAAGAGCTGAGTGCAAATATGCATACATTAACAAATTAGACAGGTGATCTAATAAATGTGTTAAACCCTTTATATTTACTAATTAATTACTTCATCTAAAATTTTCCTTAAAAAAAAAGCAAAATTACCAATTAGTTTAATTTATTTCTCTTTTTTTGAGTAAGTGCATGTCACTTTATAATGCAGCACAGCTAAAAAAATTAAAAAGTGGACCTATTAAAGTGCAAAACTGTGGGTAAACTGAACACTCCAACATGATAGAAGTGGCTGTTTTATAAATACAGAGCAGCTAGAGCAACTCATTTTCTCCTTTTTGTGAAATCGTTCTCTGACTTCGGTTGTAGCTTTGAATCTTTTCAGAATAAAAGCATCGTCCAGCTGTCTTCCTTCACTAATGAGTCTGTCAGACAACATCGGTGTGATAAAATTAACGATGCGGAGCAAAAGCTTGAGAGAAGGAGGTACAACAACAATCAAACAATAACAATGAATCAAACTTGATTTTTTTCACTCTTGTATTACGGTTAATCATTAAATTCCAGCTGCAGCAGCAGTCATGTGGCGTCCGATTAACAGCGAAACCGTAGCGTGGGGGGTCTGGTTAGCTCGTGTAATGACTGACATGTGTAAATAACTAGCATAGCTCTGGGAATATTAAATCATCTGAAAATGTGCAGCGCAGGCTTCAGCAGGTTCTCTGTGATTACCAAGAAGCAGCTTATGATAAATTAGCACAGTTCTATACGCCTTTAGAACCACCAGTTTAAATCTGTAACGTAACAGAGGCTGGAATCAAGAGATTTTTTGACTTTCTTTCTTTAAATAAATAGATGAAGATTAATTTAATGCTTGCAAACTGACTGATTCATCATTGCTGGAAGAGAGTGAACCAGCTTATCACACTTACATTCTACTTATCAATAAACCTCCACAGTGGTGCTTTGGATTTCTTACACCTCTCCAGTAAGCAGGCAGCTAAAATGAAAAGAATTTTACGCAACGGCTTGTGTTTTGGCATTCGCGACTTGTGGGCCAGCAGCCGTCAGACGAGGTGAAGCCTGTCTGCTCTTGTCACACTTTCTCGTGTAGCAGCAAGACGTCCGTGACGCGCTCGCCTGCACATCCAGTCCATGCTGTAAGCACGTGAAGTGATGTGTGAAGTGGCTGCATGTCGGCGACCTCAGGCAAACCGGCGGGGAAGTCGATAAGAAGCTGGAACGTGAGCTGCCCTTCCTGTCTGATTGGTGTGTTTGCCCTCACGTGTTTGGAGAAAGTGCAGTCGAGAAATTCCAAACAAGAAAAAGGGTTTACACGGTGCTTTGGACTTAATTTAGTCACCAGGAAGCATGTTTAAAATAAGAGATGATGAGAGTGTGTTGTTCCAAAATTGAAGGGTGTAGTTTTCCCTCAGTTCTTGAAATAACAAACTCAGCCACAGAAGAAGTCGCTGAGCTGGACTCAGAGGGGATCGCCAGGAGTTTACCAAAGGGCTTCACCAAAGCCAGGATGTGAAGTGATGTTGATGTTTCTTGCTCCCAAGATCCATCTTGTAAACCAACAATGAGCTTAATCACTTCGAAATGAAGGGGATTTGACTTTGACAGGAGCCAACGCTGCTGTTTTTT